TGACCAGGGCGGTTCGGTGCGGGTATCCATCGGTTCAGTCACAATTGCCATCTCTAATTTGGAGTGCCTTCTCTTAGATTCTTTTTTGTAATCTTTTTTCTGAGAGGCTTCGGTCTGGTCCTCCTCTCTTGTTACTATCTATCTCATCTAATAAAACTCCAGTAAATGACACCCGACATTTACTCCACTGATTTTGGTGGTTTGCCTTCCGGGTTATAAACAAATAGTACTCCCTCCGTCCCGCTAACAATGGGACAAGAGGGAGTGACACGCAAATCAATAAAAAGTGTTTTATGTGGTGGATACTGAATTGATAAAGTAAAAATAAAGTAAGAATGATTTAAAGCCACACAAATTTTGCCAAATTTGGTATGAAACAATCTTAGTGGGACGGACCGATAAGGTAAAACGGTACGGTCATAGCGGGACAGAGGTAGTAATATTTTTGTAAAAATCCTCTTTTTAACGGGCGATGAATGAATGTTTGAAACACATAAATCTGACATATGGGTAAAGATAAAGTCTATCAATAACAATTTGACTCATCCCCATTCACACACCTGCTATGACTATTATTCATTGTAGCTGCAAATTACACTGTAGGATCGTTACATCAAGTGTAAAATCTATCCGGCCATTTTCTTTCTTGATTCTTCTATTCTTTTCTTCTACAATTATCTTTTTCACTTTCACCAGTCGATGACTGTTTGATGAACGTGACTTATACAGTATATTTGATGAACACATTTTAAATTTTGTATAATGTCATTTCTATATATATATATATATAGTCATTCTCCTATTCAGCACTTTTCTATCCGAACATCGCCGTTTGAGGCGGTTCCCGGTTGAATATTTTGATGAAATTTTTTGAGCATGTTTCTCATCAAGTCTAGTTTATCCATACCAAATTTCAGCTCAAAATTCGATAAGAAAGGCAGTCAAATAATTCGTTGAAGTTAACTGCGCCAAATTATACATAGAAAAACGCAGTTAAATTCAACGAATTATTTGACCGCCTTCCGGATCGAATTTTGAGCTGAAATTTGGTAGGGATAAACTAGACTTGATGGGGAACATGCTCAAAACATTTCATCAAAAAATTCCACCGGGAACCGCCCCAAACGGTGGTGTTCGGAAAGCGTTCGGACCGGGAGGTGCTGGACCTGAGAATTTTCCTATATATATATATATATATATATATAGGGGAGAGTTCTAGTGAGAACTCTCTTAAAATGAGAACTCGTGAGAACCTCTGAGAACCGGTGGTATTTTAGGCTGATTTTTTTGTGTATGTTCCTCATCAAGTCTTGTTGATCAATATCAAATTTGAGCAAAAATTCAATCGGGAAGGTCGTCAAATGATTTTTGAAAGAAAACTGCGTTTTATATACTATCGGACCAGTTTTCTTTCAAAAATCATTTTACAACCTTCCCGATTGATTTTTTTGCTCAAATTTAGTATGGATGATCTAGACTTGATGCGGAACATACACAAAAAATTTCAGCCAAAAATATCACCGGTTCTAAGGGGTTCTCACTAGAACCCTCCCATATATATATATATATATATATAT